CCAGCGGTGCTGGGGGTGGGGCTCTGGGGGCGGTTCTGCCACCCCCACTCATTCCCAGTAGGGTCTGTGGCAGAAAGCCACCTCTCTCTCTCCCCAGAAACTCTCCTCTGTGACAATCTGGTTCACACGGGCCCGGCAGAGGGCAGACATCCTTTCTCTTTAGGTACCCTGAGCTGGATGCATTCCTGAGGGAGGGGGGAAACCTGCTCCCTCTGCCCACGTGACTGGCATCACATACCTGGGTGAGGGGCTTGGGCTCCCTGTTGTTCAAGAGACCCTGCCAGTCTGCTCGGCAGCCGGTGATGCATTTCAAATCAGTTGGCTGACAGCCAACAGGTGCTGGCCTCCATTGGACCAGGTAAATGAGGTCGCAAGGGCTATATAAGTTAAGGACTGCCCAGGAGGAGGAAGGGGCAGCAGCCATGAGGAAGACTCAGAGAGAGAGAGAGAAGAGCTGGACCATCTGAAACTTGCTCTCTCTCTCATAACTCATGATCAAGGAACTGCCTGCCTCCAGGGGGAATCTCCACCTGCCTCTGGATGATCCTTGTGAGTAAGCTACTTGAGATCCAACTAGATATATAGCCTGTAGTAACTCAGATGCGTGATCAAAGGCTACCCAGCCATGCCAGCTTGCTCTGTGGGATTTCTCTGACATTGCTTTACCCTGTACCCTATTGCAACCCTACCCCTTGTAACCAATAAAGTTCTCCTTTGTACCTAGCGTGGGAGACTTATTGGCTGTGGGTCTAGGTTATGCCTTGGGGCCCCCTTGATTCGGCTAACTGAGGGAGACCGCTACTTGTGCTTCTGACTGAGGGAAGCACCCCAAGTTCTTGAAGTGGACCAAGTACCCTCAAGGACTACGAGGCCTGTGTTTCCCAAGGGGTACAGTGCCAGGATCAGACCAGACCCTGGGTGGTGGCAGTACTACCTCCAGGCTAGCGGGTGTACTCCGGGAAGGGGGTAGGCTAGATGTGAGGCAACCCCTGGGAGGCACTCAGAGCCTGGAAGGTGGTGGGGTGCAGTGAGGTGGGTGGTGCAGCGCAGGAGCACCCCCTACTGGCCCGCCACAGGTCAGATGCAGCTGTAGGGGCCATGGCGAAGATGCAGCAGCAGAGCGCAGCCACCTGGGGAGTGCCCGCCCACCCCTATAGCCCCACCCCTCCCACACCCAGCA